ATTATATATCCAAATTGATAAGGGGAGCTAAAGTGAAGTGTTTTGACAATAAACAGACTAAAAACATAAGGAAAAAAAAAAGAAAAAAGAAAAAAAAAAAAAAAAAAAAAAAAAAAAGAAAGATGTTTAGAGAGAAACCAAACCCAGACTTTCTACAATCTTTATAAAAATAGATGGGAAAGAGGAAAAGATGGTTTTGAGCCCATTATTCATTGTCCAGGTAAAAAGAAAAAAATTACAAAATTAAAAAGTGCATAGATTAATTTCCCAACAGGGAGAAGGCATTCACATTTGTTATTTGAGGGGGGTTTTGAAAACTTCAAATATCAGGCAGTAATTTATACCAACTTGAATCTTCCTGCTCATCTTTTCAATAGAGATACATTTTTGCAAGCCATAACACATGTCCCATTTCCTATTTATAAATGCATATTGTTGGGATTATTTTAAAATTTGTACATTTTAAAATAAAAAGGTTAAAAAATAAATTTTTAAAAATATTTCACATAAAAAATTCTACTTTTATGCATTCTTAAAATTAAATTTTCAAATTATAGGTTGGTTTGATGATATTTTTCTTTTTATTAAAATTTCACTGAAATAATACAAGCATGGAGTTTTCTTAATATCACTAAAAGATTAAATGATAAAATACAGACTGTACAAAAAAATATCTTTAATTTTTATGTATAAAATATGGACAACAGCAACAGTAATAACTGAATCTTTGTTCAAAGTTACATGATCTTCAAAGAAACCAGGTATTTAACAATGTAGACCACACCTGTTAATATAGGTATGATTACATAGCCTGTCTTGAAACCAACAATTTTTGTATATTTTAAGTGTTGTTGAGTTTACTTTTTTCCAATTAATACTTGGATATTGATTAAATAGCATCTGTTGGTAATAAAAGTTTTTGGATTTATTTCTGATGACAATTAAAGTTAATCAAAATTTGCATTTTTCATTTTTGAAATTATCTATTTACCATTTATTTAAAAAAAAATTATGAAAAAGTAAAATTAGACATTGCAAAGTTCATCAGCACATAATCAACATGATGTAGAGATGCTTATAAGCATCTCCAATTTCATCTTCAAGTTATAATTAGTTCCAAAAGTTGTTTAAACCAGCGTGTTCTGTAGCTTTAATAAAATTGAATGCTTTTAGTTTAAATAAGTTTATAATGAAGCCTCTGTTTAAAACTTGACCTTTGTACAAAAAAGGCTGTTTTTCATTCAGAAGATACAATATATGTTAATGATTCTTTCCATGGATGAAAATTGAACAAAAATGTTAGGATATTTGTTGCTCTTATCAACAACAACAAAAAAAAAAATTCATGAAAAGAAACAAATTGTTTACAATTCAACAGAATCACAATTTGCTGTTTGCTTTCTGAAAAACAGCAAAAAATTAAATCCTTCAATGTCTATATTATTAGGTAACAAGTATGGAATACAACCACATGTGCAAAGAAATATTAAAAAAAATCAATTAAACCAAAAGAAACAAAAAAAAAAAAAAAAGGAATAAGCTTTAATAAACAAAATTATTGATTAAAAGGAATTCTTACAATACTATTAACACAAATTTTGCTTTGAGAATCTATTAATCTTAGTTAATCATTCACTTAAGCAATGATTAGACTTAAGGGTGCTCAACTCAAAAAAGTTACGAATTCATTTACATGATTTGCCACAAAATTGTTTTTGACAATACATGACATTTATATTTTCCTTATAAAGTAAAATAATTTTTTTTTATCTTTAACAAAACTATCATCTTCATTTAGTCAACGCTTTAAATAATTGTCAAATTGCTTTTTTTTATAACACTAATTTCTCTGTCCTTTTCTTTTTATTTGCAATTCAAAAAAGAAAAGACATTATGTAAGGGATAATTTTCCACTAAGTAGCAAATTATACACAAATTGGTGCTTTTTATAAGTGGTATTCTTCAAAGTAGTGCCAGGTTTTTATTATATTCTGTGATGAATAATAAAATCATTTATTATAAGCAATTAGAATGTAGATGATAATATTTTTAATTTAAGAATATATACTTCAATCTACAGTTTGTGATCACACAAAATGCCACCCAGAGAAATCATTTTTGCAGTGTTTTGCAGATTTGCAGTGTTTTAAAAATGGTAATAAAACTTCCATTTAAAAATGAAGATTTTTCAGTTGATGTGGTGTATGTGGGTATGGATAAAAATTTTAAAGGTTATATAGAAATCATTTGTCACAAATTTATAATTGTGAGAAAGCAATTAAAGATTATTGAAGGAAGCAAAAAGCATAGACACGCACTGAGAGGGTTTCGTCTTTAAATTTAGCTTTGATATAAGAACAAGAAATTCAGCACAAAAATAAACATTTCTGTAAAAAAAAAAAAAAAAAAAAAATAAATACATGTAGATGGAGTGAAAAGAAAATGTTTATAAATTCATGTCAATATTGAACATGGTTCTTTTATTTCACTTTAATGTTTTATTAGTTTAGGCAATTTATGAATGAATCTTAAAAATGTCTTGTTTTTTTGTGAATTAAGAATAATTGTATTTTTGCTACAACATTTGTTCTGATTAAAAAAATGAAGAAGCATATTTTGTGTAATGAGATTGAATTTTAAAATAAGTCTGTATTTGAAATTTTTTATAAATTCTATATGGAAATGTAAAAAAAAAAAAAAAAAAGAAAAGTTAAATTAAAACTCATAACTAGAAAGAAAAAGTCATTTGAAAATTGTTTTTCTTGGATTGTCAGTAAGACAATGTTTTTTTTTTTTAGGGTATGGAGTAAACAAGATTAAATTAACTATAATATTGACAACCAGTATTTTCTAGGTAAGCAGTCTTTGTTCTGCCTAGAACTTAAATTTTTGTTCATAATTCCTATTTATAATTATAGTTTGTCTTGTACAGTAAAACAGACTAACAATATGTCAAAGACAACTAATTCCTGGCAGTGGAGGAGGAGGAGGAGGTCAGAGTTTTGGTTTCAGAATCACAAGGGATATAAATATGACATTTTTTGTATGTGAATTTAAAATATCTTTACAAAAAAAGTATGTTAAATTCTGAGGAGTCAGAGAAAAAAAAAAAAAAAAAATTTAAAAATAAAAAATGGAATGATTCCTCCAAATCTGTAGATAGCAGTTTAGATAGATCAGTATAAATAATTTTCTATTTTGTTGAATGAAAAAAATATACAGAACACTGTTGTGCCAAAATCTCCCCAAAATATATGAACCAACAAAATGAGGCAAACAAAGCAGCTACAATAGAAAAATATTTTAATTTGTGTAAAACGTGTGCATGTATATAAAATGATAGACATTTCCTTCGATGTGTAGAAAACTGTTTATGATCTCCATTGCAAGTGGGTCAGGCTGTAGAAAAAAACTGGATTGAAATAGAAAAAAAGGACAAAAAAAAAAATAAAAAAAATAAAAAACACAACTTAGTTCTTAGTCAACTTTTATTTTATATTTTGCAACAGGTTCAACACTTTCAAATTTAATTTTCACATCTTTCTTCTAAACTTAAATTGCAGGTTTAATCAAGTTTCCAATTTGTGCAAAATCTCTCATACTATTCCTTCAAAAATGGACTTTGTTGTTGTTCAATAAAAATAATAAAAATAAAAGGCAGCCTTAACCTGCCACTGTTTAGATTTTTGTCTTAATAAAAAGGTTAATCACTTTAGCCAATCGGCATTGGCTTAGAAAAAGTTATTTTTACAAGACGTACTTGATCACAACCTTTTTTTTTTTTTTTTTTTTAAATTATATAATTCTGCCGCTTCAAACTGTAAATACTTCCCAGTCATAGATGTGGATTGAAATCTTTAGATTTTTGCTATTAAATCAATTTGGCAGTTTGAATGATTGGATGTTGCAATCAAATTTCATTTTTGTAGAAGGGCACTCAATGGTTTTCTGGCTCAACGAACAAAGCCATGAACAAACGGAGGTCATTTTTAGAGCTGAATTATCTTCATTTTTGTCTTTGTAATTAAAATGAAAAGTGAAACAAAATCAAGTTTTCCAGCATTATAATCTGAAGAAATTAGTTAAAATATAGTTTGTTTTTGCTTTTTCTCTTCTGTAACCATTTTCTCCAGATATTAACATTTCTTGAGAATGATTTTTATAAAAAGATAAATTGCAGCATTAGTTTCAAGTTATTGTAAAAATAAATAAAATGGATAAACAAAACCTTTTAAACTGACACAATGAGCTTTCATTTTTATGTCTTATTTTTGCTTAAATTGATTTTTGTGTCATGGTCACTTGACTACAATTTAATGTTTTCTTACTCAATTAACATCCAATCAAAATTCAGAAAGCTTGTGAAGATGCTCTTCATCTCTCACAAGCCAGAAATAAATGATACTGTTCATTTATACTTACTGAACGAGTTTACATACTTGGACAGTTAAGAATAATTAAAATAAAAAAAAATTAATGTAATAATGTAATTTATATTGTGACCAGTGAAAGTGATTTTGACCCAATACAAGCACAAACAAGTTAAACAATTAAAAAAAAAAAAAAAAAAAAAAAAAATTAGTTATATTTTAATTTTGCCTCATTTTGGAAATTCAGTTTTTAAAGACAGGAAAAAAAAGTTAGTACAGCATCTGGTATAAAGTTTCCGGCCATTTATACGTATATACAGTCCATAGATTATAACTGCTCTATCCTGACTATAGCATTTATGACCACAAGATTTGATTCCATGGGTCATCGACAGAAATGTTTTGATAGCAAAAAGTTTGTAATCACTGTGTTCTTCTCTAAATGCTTCCACTTATAAAAGGACGACACGATCATGTCAGGATGAGTTGCATTCAGCAGTGGCAACAAGTTAGATTTCTTTGTAATGGCTACTGCCATTACTGTTCAAGTATTTCTAACAAAAAATAAAAATGACCTGTGTTTGCATGCATATGTGTCAGTATCTTAAGTGGAATTGTTGCTCAGGGCTTCTAGCAAGGACTGTGTCGGAGATTCCTAATTAGTGGAATGAGACAACTTGGATGGTCTGCCTGTTGAATGAATGGATGTTGAAGAAGCTCGTAGGCTGTAGCTCGAGATGATGGATCACGTACAAGCATCTTTTCAATGAATCCTTGGAGGCGGGGTGTTATCTATAACAACAAAAATATGATATAAATAAGCAAAATTACTAAACATTTCTTTTAAATATTACAAATTTAATTGTTGATACAAAAGTTTAAATAAAAAAAAAGAAAAAGAAAAGAGACATTGTCAGTTGAAACTTGCTTAAGTGAATTCTTGCTGTATATATGTGTGTGTGTGTATATATATATATATATATATATATATATATATATATATATAGGGTGCAAAGGGTAACTCCTCACCATATATTTCTCATTTTGCACATGTGTTGTTAGTTTTTGTCAATTGCACAGTATAGTAAGATCAAATGGGCACCATCTGTGAGAAAAAGAGCACCATCATGTAATTCATTCCACCAGAAATTTGGAAACAGCATGCTGTACTGCTTGGTATTTGTGCCAGAAGCACCAATACAAACATTTCAGAGTTTCTGAATGTCATTCTGAAGACAGTGAAGAGGATTCAGAAAGAGTTGAATGAGTCTAATGGTGATTATGAAGCAGTTTGGAGTGATCACTAGTGATGGAGACAATATGCCTCTATTTGTCTTCCCACAACAAAAAGTTACATCAAGTGCCTTGAGAAGGTGGTGCTTCCCTGGGTCAAGAGGGTGGCTGCTGGAAGACCCTATGTCTGGCAAGAGAACACAGTCACGGCTGTCAGACAATTTCTGTGAAATCACTCCTTACATCTAGCCACCTAACTCCCCAGACTACAACCGTCTTGATTATTATGCGTGGGTGAACTCCTTATATCACCAAAGATGAACTGAAGGTAAGCAGCATTCACCAACTTAAAAAAGGAGACCGTCCAGACGAGTTGCAGAGGAGATTCCAAAGTCATCTGGAGGCCATGGTTAAATAAATTACTTTTTAGTATTCCAAGATATTTGTGTGTAATTTTGGTAAATATATCAATGAGATGTTATTTTCATTTTTGTATAATTTATACAACAATTTATCCATCATAATATAAATAACACAGCAGTATAGTAATGCCTAAAAATCCAAAATGTTGATGATCCTCCAGGCATCCGATTACTTTTTTTATTTAATGCATAGATAGAATTCTAAGTTGAAAAGTATTTTATTCTGAAGGCTCATCTCATTAGTACTGAAAGGAATCTCAGGTCAAATGCTTGATTAAAAAACAAAACAAAAAAAAACAAAAAAACAAAAAAAAAAAAGCATTTTTATTTCAATCTTCTCTAGAAAGCTGAATTAAACTATGTGAAATGACAATAGAATTTGGATGCCACTCAGTCCTAACTGACCTGAGTCCTTAAACATACTTTGGGAAAAGGGAATAAAGTGAAAAATATCTGTGCTTATGAAAAATATTTTCTAATTTTTGGTTCAATTTTTTTTTCAGTTGAATTAACAACATGCATATGACATCATTGGCAGCAAATGATGGTGTCCTCTTGGCAAGTGGGGGAGGGACTCTCAATCAGCTATTTTGCAGAGGTTTTATAACAACAGAATTGACCAATCAAATCACAATTTGAAAGGATCTGTTTCTATATTTACAGTGCAAAATATCTGGATGTAGAAAATAAATTCTAATCATCAAAGTTCAGTCAATCAAATTTAATTCTGGTATTATATATATATATATATATATATATATATATATATATATATATATATATATCCTAAAAAGTTTGTTGTTAAATGGCTTAAGAGAGTTTTTTTTACTCAATAGCTTAATTAAAAAAAGAGATTGTTTTTGATCCTATTTTGATAGCTGTAGTACAAAAGGCCGGTCCAAAGACAATGTTTATATTCTGTGAATTAGAAAAATAAAGAGGTTGTCTACTACAAGCTCCTTCTGGAGAGAAAAAAAAACATGATTGATTTGAACCAACCCTTCTATAAATTAGACTAAGTGAAACCTGTAATTGATGAAAAATTTTTGTAATTAAGAGAAAGGATACAATATTGCATCAGGAAAAATGCTAGATCACATTTTTACTTTGAGCCTAAGTCAAAATTGCTACAGCTTGGTTTAGAAACTTTCACTTCTGCTATATTCAGATATTTTTTTTAGTTTACATTTTTTTTTTTAATTGAATTCATCCCACGCAGGGCAGTAAAGCCACCAAGACACAAGGAGCTACTGTATGTGAAAGAGTTAGAAACAGGAACAATTCCTAGGGAGTAAGAACAAAAGCGCAATCAAGAGGACAGTAGAGAGTGACTGACATTGCATTTAGATTTTTGCAGATTAAAGTTGGCTGGAAAGCATGGAGCTGGGAGGGAGTTCCACAAGTAAGAAATACAAGAAAAGAAATTGTTAGCATAGAATTTACGGTTACATCTAGCCAGCTCAACTGTAAATTGACAAGACCTCGTCAACAGTCTAGTACTGCACTTAAATTCAAAGAATCTAGGCACCATAGCAAAAAGCTCATCTGAACAATTACTATGAAAATATTTATAGAAAAGGCAAAGGGAAGCAACCTTAGAGTGGTGGGAAAGTGACTGAAGCCAAGACGCCAGATCGGGGCCAGTAATATTGCTGATTCTTTTTTGGATTTTATCAAGGGGCTCTAGTTAAATAGCAGAAGCACTGGACCATATGTGGCAGTAATATTCTAAGCATGAGTGAATGGTAAATTTATAGATATGAAAGATAGACTGGAGAGAACAATCATCTAGCATGACACAGTGAACTAACCTTCCTAGCAGCTGACCTAGCAATGGATTCAATATAGTCTTTCCACTTCATGTTAGCCAAGAACGTCAGCCCAAGATGCAGTGAGTCACTCTTGTGGAGGTCAGCATCAACCATGCTGATGGAAGTCAGAGTGGGTTCTCTCAGATGATTAATAGAGAGCAGTTTAGTTTTGGAGGCATTAAAATTAATAAGCTATTCATTGCCTCAGTTAACAGACTGAAGGTAGTTTTGGATATCAGCTGCCATTTTCACCTTATCAAACTAATTAGACTTACTATTGAGACAGGAGTAAATGGTTGTATCATCAGTGTAGATACCAAGTTGAGAGCTGATGTCATTGGGAAGAGTTTATTAATGAAAATTAAAAACATAGTAGGAACCAAAGCAGACTCGCCTTGATACATCTTTTGTGTATTTCTGAGAAAAAAAAGATGTGTCAGTGGATTTTTCTTTTTAAAAAAAGAAGTTTAGAATCTATTTACCTTTGTGTCATTTCTCAGCTTTGGTGGTGGCATGTCTCTTATTCTTCTCATTGCTTGCAGTGGGGGTTCATTGAAAAAAGGTGGCTCTCCATCAACCATCTCAATCACCATGATGCCTAATGACCAAATGTCCACCTATATACATTAAAAAGGAAAAAAAAAAAAAAAAAACTTAAAACTGATTTCTATGAAAGAAAAAAATGAATTTAGTGTTCATTTGTACAATTAGATTCTTTAGTAGTTTGGTATAAATATATAATTTTTTTAAATAAAATTTTCCAGCCAACATTGTTTTGCATCTGGAATTCTAAATTCACATATTTTGTAAATGAAAACTCTAGCCATAGAAGAGTGGAATAGTGAAATTATTTCATTTCAGAACAAAAAGAATCTTTTAAAAAAACTTTTCATGATGCTGACAGAATACAAAATACAAATGCCATAACAGTATTTGGTCATAAGCTTAAAGTAATTTGGTGACATTTTTATATGATAGTCTGAAGCATGTTTTATGAAAGAAAAAATTTTACATTAAATAAAATTTAATAATTTATCACATTGAAAAAATTGCATTCAATTTTCTTTATTTAACTCGGACAGAAAAAGGGAAAAGGCACAAATTTAACTTTATTTAATTTCTATTGTGAAAGTAATAAAATTAAAATGTTTCAATTTATCTAGAATAAACTTTACCTGACAAATTTAGACAAGATTTATTGAAACTAGGAATCCTAATTATCACTCATGTCACTTGTCATATATGATTATCTATATATAGGATTGAACAACAAGATTTGTATATGAAATCATGAAATATTCTATTAAATATTTTACTAATTGAATTTGTTGGCCTATAAAAAATTGCATATTACTAAGAGATAAATTTCTTTTCTATACTGTAATCATCTTTGACGTCATCCTTTAAAAAAAAAAAAAAAAAAAAAAAAAAAAACCAACTTTTTTTTTTTTTTTCACTCTCATATTAATGTATATAAAAATGCATAGTAATTAAATAAACTTGTAAATTTACCTCTTGTCCATAAGGTAAACGAGAAATAACCTCAGGTGCCATCCAGTAAGGTGTACCAACAAGTGATTTTCTCTTGGGTAGGTCAGGATTAACTTGGGCACAGAATCCAAAATCTGATAATTTCACCTGGCAGGGGAAAAAAAAATAACTTGCATAAACATTAATAAACTGACAATTATAAATTTAAAATGATAATTATAAATTTATCAAAGAAATTTCTCACTTCCTGAATTATAATTCTTCAAAAATATTTATGTTCCCAGATGCATATCATCCTCCACAAAAAAAAAAAAAAAATCCTTTGTCAGAAGCTAGATTAGATGAGAGAACCCCACTATTTCTATGAAATGTATGCAGGATCATATACTTTCAAAAATAATATTTGTATTTAGCTGCAAAAATATCTGAAATTGTTCCAAACTGATTTTGCATGAAAAATTTTTTTCAATCCCAATTTACCTGTTTTAGTTTGCAATATTTTCATCAAATGTCAGACATTAATGATTAATTTTTGTGAATTTGTTCTGCAAAGAAAATCATTTCAATTATAAACCAAAATGTTTGGTATGTAATAATGCATGAGTGAGTAAGGCAAAGATTTGTTAGAGATGTGTTACTCAGAAATTCAAAAAGTTTGAACGATGACAAGTGATCAACAACCAAGTTAGTGTTTCACACTTTTAAAATCATTTCACCAGAAAACAAAATCTACTATTCCAAGTATGTAAATATAAAATCTAGTTATTTTTATAAATGCTTACCTTTCCATCATGAGCTAACAATATAGAGTCAGATTTGATGTCCCGATGTATTACTCCATGCGAATGCAAATAGGCCAGAGCTTGAAGGCAAGCCTTGCACACAGTGGCTATCTGAACCTCATTCATCCTGCAGAAAAGATCAATTCAAAATTATAACAGTAGAGTAAAAGTAGTTCTATTGTTAGAAACCAGGTCTCTCAGGTTAAAAACTCTCAGCTAAGGAGAAAAACAAAAATTGAAAACTGTTATAAAGACAGCAATAAATATATTTAATTTTAATTACTCAAGCATGAAAATAAAAACCAAATGTCAATATTGTTTTTTTTTTATAAAAATATTTTACTGTTGTGATTTATCAAGCTAGCAAGGCTTTATTATTGTATTATTAAAACAAAGAGACAAAAAGATTTCAACAAGTCAGAGGGAGAGAGAGACTTCCTTTTTTGGTTATTGTTTGTGTGACAAAGAATTTTGTTTTGCATTTAGCCATAAAAAATACCTAAGAAAAATCTGAAACTTAAATAAAATAAAACAGCAAAAGTAAACAGACAGCCCTATTTTCAAAAACATTTTTTTTTTTTAAACTCAATCTCAAATATATTTTTATAGAAATGAAAATCTGAAACTTGCCATTACTTGGTTGTAAAGCTATTAGTCTTTCAGGTGTCAGATTTGCTATCCTCTCCAAGAGAGTTATTTAGAAAACATAAAGCAAATCTTTGTTTTCTATTTTGCTTATTCAATATGGTTCAAATATTCAACAACAGGATTCCAATCAGGACACTAACTTGTCCACAAAGATTGAGGTTACTTAATAACATGTAGTTTTTTTTTTTTAGTTTTATCCCTTCTGAAAAGGGGCTAATATTTTTATCCAAATAATTGTCACTAAATATCAGAAGACAAATGGCTGTGTATTTTACTAAATCAATATGACACAAGAAGCATTTGTGCTCCAAATTGTCACCTACATCAGATCTCAAAATCCAGTACACTTTATATTGGGAATAAGTGGTTCAAAAATTCTCAGGTAGATAATTTCTGGGTTAATACACATTCACTGTTTGAAAAGTGAACAAATGAGGATTTATTAAAAAGATAACATGCCAAAACTACAAGTGCTTGCCCATTGTTTTCTCTGTTGAATGTTAAGTGGTCAAATGTATATTGCTCTCTCCCTCTTTCATAGGCTGTGGGCTGAAAATATTGCACTTGTGGTCTTGGGTTGATATAAACAATAACACATCTGCAGTAAGAATTTCTCTACCTACCATATCTCTCCTGCCAGTTTTCCTGCATGAACAGAGATGTCTGATGGCCCAAATCAACCTAACAAGACGCTGTGGTTTTCTTTCATTTATTAGTGAATTATATGATTTTGTGATTCATGATTAATAAAAGTTTGATGCTGTTTGATACTGATTCATTTCAAATCATTTTTGTTTAAAAATCAGTCCACTGTAATTACTCTTTCACATTACATTTATAAACCTTTGCAACATCAACTGGACAATTTTGCTTATCTTTTAGATAAAAAAAAAGAAAAGAAAAGAAAATAATCTAGCGTTGCACTTACTTGCTGTGAGTGACAATATCTGTGAGAGCTCCTCCTTCAAGGTATTCCATCACGACCCACAATTCATCTCCAACTAGATAGCTTTCATACATGTCCACAATATTTGGATGATGATAGTCCCGCATAATAACTACCTGCCAGGCAAAAGTCCAGTCAATGGATCAGTAACATTTACAAGCAGAAATTAAGCATTGGACCGAGATATCATTATTAGCAAACCAGACAATTACAACAAAAGGCCTTATCAATAGTTAGGAGATGGGGGATGACATTAAAAGGAATCACTAAAAGGAAATGATTAAGAAAGTCAACGTTACTAACTTAAAAAGGAAAAAAAAAAAAAAAAAAAGAGATACATAATCAAACGTGAAATTGTCATATACAAAAAACCAATTTTAATAGCTGAACATTATTTTTAACAATTTCAAAGCACTGACCATCATAGAACATTACTTTAAGAACAAAAAACAAATTATTTCTTGAAAGAATAAACAATGAATACATTTTGACTCGTTATAAAAAATGAGAAAAAATTCTTTTTACTAACTTATGACATTTACAAAAATTTTACTAACACTTACACAAATAGACATGTGTAAACACTTTTGTTCACAAGAAAATAAAATGAAAATAATACAATTGAAATTAATTCATTTGACATGTTTGTATATAAGCACTTCCAATAGCAATGTTTTGTTGCAAACAAAAGTGTTGTAGATATGTTATTTATATATACCATTTACTGTATATTAGGCAACATTTAGATAAGACAAGGTAAAAACATATAGTAAATTTTCATGAACTTATCCTATACTTGTAATATAAGATGACTGCTTATTGATCATATGAAGATGATGCTATTGGAAGTGTTACTGGATCCTTAGAAATTCAAAATAAATGAAATAAAACCGATTCTATATCATGATATGTCCCCTAAAAGGAGAAACAATTGTTTTGTTTACGTTTCATCACATAATCTGTTGAAAATACTGATTATTCTTCCTTTACTATAAGTTACAAACAACCTGGTGTACTAATGGGCATTTACATTTTTTTTTTTTTTTAATGAGAACTGAATATTATGTTATCCTAAATGCTATTACCGCTGTAATTAACACTACCATGATTATTGAAAGTTTAGAGAAAGATAACAGTTGCTGTGAATGCAATCATAACTTGATGTTTACATTTTCTCAGCTGAGTTTGCATGGATACAAGTCGATTCCAATGATATGAAATTATTCTTTGAATCGGCAATTTATTACAGTTATGCCAGTAATATATAAAGTAGAAATGGTTTTATTACTTTCATCAGTTTATTTGATGATGTGAATCTTTTCACGTATGTTATTGTTTATCACACTGAGGCTGATGTTAGCCTATTGACAAACATCACTAAAAATTTAAGGTTTCTTTTTTTTTTTTTAAGAATTGTAGTACAAGATGATCCCCATTTTTTTGGATTACAAGGTTGTCTTATATGCAGAAATATATGGTAGTTATTTTAGCATTTGATGAAACTTGAAAATGTCCACATTTTCACTTGCTATTAAATTCTTTACTAACTAAATCAAAGTGCTTGAAAATAATGACTCTTCTAAAAAATGAAAAAATAAAAGTGAAATCATTTTCTTCTAAGCCAGTTCTAAAAACTAGGTATGACTGACATAAGATGAAAATGCATTGAATTTCTTAACAGATTGTATGGCTTAATATTTTCTGTTTATATCAAAACCAAATAAACTATATAAATAATAAAATGTAAATGACTCACTTCATTAAATAGCAATTCCGTCTTTTGCTGTTTGCCAAGGTCCATCTTTTTAACAGCCACTGCTGTCCTGTTGTCCTCTGTGTAGCAATGCATACAATACCAGTTGAACCTTCACCAATTTTGATGAAGTAATCAAGATCATCACGTGGATCACCAGGAGAGACCACCATCTGGAGAGTGGCTCGAAACTATAATTATGAGAACAAGGGAAAAAGAAGACTAAAATATCATGTTAGTTTATTAATTAAAAGTAGATGATATTTTAGCTAGTGTACAAAGAATGATAAAAGTGAAAGAGCACACACACACAAAAAGATTCTTAATACATTCCTCTCTCCACACATACAGAATGAATTTTGTTTTTATATAAAAGCAAAAGTTCTTTCTAGTATACAAGCAAAAAAGTTCAGCAGTTAAATGTAGGCATATATATTTTACAAATCCTGTGAAAATTGCAGTCCATTTATTAAGTGAAAATTTTATTTTTATGATATAAATATAGATGCCAGTTATAAATACTGCTGCGAACAATTTTGTTCATGGGATTGGTTAGTGAAAGCAGAGAAATTGGTAAAAGCATTTATGAAGGAGAAATAGACTATTGAATATATGTAAATAAGATAAAGTCTTTTTTCTCAAAGAGAACACTTCACTCTTGTGACGGAATGTCCAAATTTTTTTGTAGACACTCCATTTTTTTGGTTGAGCAATCAGCTATTTGTTGAGATATGGCCACCCAGATAATATTTATATCTCTTATTTAGAATATCTTTAATTCTAAATTATCTTAATTCTTTAACATATATTTAATAATATTTATTCTCAGTCTTTTATCTTCTACATTTCTTTTGAAGAATACAGCCCCCCCCCACACACACACACACGACGATTATCTATAAATGTTTATTTTTATCTCGGGACAACCTGACACTTATTTAATGATACACAATCAAGCAGTATCATAGTTTCTGTAAACAAGGTTGCTTGATTGCTAGGAGATGGGGCAATAATGAATTTCTGTCCCTGAAAAAGAATTATAAAATCTTCCAGAGTTTCTATCAGGAAAGTTGGCAAAAGGTGCATCAGAGAAGCAATCAAGAGACCAAGATTTATACATTTCATTCAGGTAAAAAAAAAAAAAATCTTCATAAAACAAGTTACACTATTAATTTATTCCATTTTAACAGATCAATAGTCACTCTATTGTAGGAAGAATTCAAATTCCAACTCAATGTCTGGCCTAGTGTTAGTAGCTTTTCTTCCGATACTACCAGTTCATTAGTGTCCCCCCACCCCCGAAAAATAGTTTATTGGTGAATGATGATCATAGTAGGTGATAAAGATGGTGCCTATAGAAATTGATCTGCTGTCAAACCATTTATTGTTAAGGCCCATATTTTGAATCATTTCACTACAAACAAGGTATAAAGACACTAAGATGCAAATGGTTACTGAATATCAGATAATAGGAGAAAAAAAAAAAATACTATTAAGGAGAGAAACCAAAAAAAAAACAGGAATTAAGAGGACAGAAGATAACAACTGACATTACATTTAAATTCTTGAAGATCAAGGTTAACTGCGAAGTAAAAAGCCAGAAACATTTTCCACAAGTGAGAGAAGAAACTATTAGCATAGAACTTATGATTACATCTAGCAGCCATTTCAACTGTAAAATGATGAAATGTGTAATGCATCTCATATGTGTGGCAGAAGAGGATAGCAGGTCAGGTGGAAAGACAATCCAAAATTTAGAAATGTTTTTAATAAATGCATATGCCAAAAATAAATGATTTTGAAATTTAAAATATTATTATGGATTACTTGTAATTGCATGTATGAGTCCCACTATAAATAGTTATAAATAACTGACACATTTTATCATTGTGATATTTTTGCATTATATCAGTATTAAGATTATAGTAACTAGGGTCCACAAATTGGAGGATAGAGATATCAATGATAATGATCTGAATTTGAATCCGTTGTTATCTCCATTTAACCCTTTCTCCATTTTTATTTTTAAACATACTTTTTATCACAAAATTTGGTGAGGCACAAACAAATTTTAATTCCGAAAATCTTGGAACCCACTGACTTAAGTTCTTAATAAATCATATCTCTAAAATGATGCAGAACTTCCAATTAAGAACATCTTTCTCAAGTTATCAATACACTTTTCAAACATTGTTATCAGTCCAAATACTCTTTCAAACCTGCCATCATTGTAATATAAATATAAAGAATTGTCTAAAGAAAACATTTTTAGAGAAAAGGACTTTCATGTACTATCACATAATCTGTGAGCCAATTTCTACAAATTTCAATTAACAATTCAAGTAGAATGTTGGAAATAGGGGTTACAAGAAGTCAAAGAAAGCATGACACAAACAAATCAAAAAATGATTGTAAATATTAATTGTATCAGCTTCATAGTCTTTTGCTACAAGCCTGGCTTTTGTTACAATTTAGACCATCTTTCACTTTTTTACAGGCAAACCCATCTACATTCAGATTTTGATTCTCAACTTCAGTGTTACCCATTATCAATCCAGTTTTTAAATTCATGTTTTTTGCAGACATCAATTCACTCAAATTAAACAACAGCATTTCTTTGTTATCAGCTACTCCTTTGCATTTACTAAATTTAATTAAATCAATCCAACCAGTCCTACCATGGAAATAATATTTAACATAAGTGTGTTTATATTTGCCAGTAGCTTGTTTCCTTAGTTGACTCAATATTTTGACAGTGTTAAATTTTATTCTTTCAAAACAGCCAACAGTTACTTTTGCTTTTGAGTTTATTTATTTTTTTTTTATTGCTATACAATTAATTCAACTTATTGTCATCCTAAGTCATAATTTTTTTTTTTTATTTTTATTTCCACAAGCCTGATCCAGGTTGTTACCATCGTTGATCCTTGTACTTTTAAATGGCTTTCTTTGCATTTTAGTTATGGTGTCTTTGTCAGATGATGTGAGTAAATATCAACATAGATGCTTTTCATTCAATCAACACACAGCCCCACACCAATCGTTGTCATTCCTTTTGTAAAATATTTCATTACTGTTGGAAAGTCTTCATAATAACAATGAAGATTCTTTATAGCTTTTGATTCTTTTGGCAAATGAAGAGAATCCTGCCTTTCCAGACATATTGCATTTAAATTATATCTCATTATAGTTGAAGTGGTTACTTGTACTTACAGAAAAAGAATCAATTAGAAGTAGTTATGGATGGCAGGCATGACACCAAATGTTAATTGATTGAGAGAAAAGCAGGGTAGTTACTGGAGATTATGGATAGAAACTGCTCGGGATAAAGCCACATTCATATCACAATGTTCAAAATTATTCTACCAAACATATTTCCAATAACCACATTCAATCTCTGCAAAAACTATTTCTTCAAGGTCTCTCCTGCTGGTGTAGTCATGATTTTCATGTTAATGGCTTCACCTAATTACTGCATTCATGGTTGGTTAATTCCCCTCTATTATCTGAAAAGTTTCTTTGGAAAACCTAACAGTTATACAATCTTTAAATAAATCCTTCATAATTGTAAAGGATTGTTCTATTGCCACACAGAACCTTGGCATGAATATGGGTGAATGCTAATCTTTGTAGATCTACAAAGATTAGCATTCACCCATATTTTAAAATTGTTACAATTTCATAGAATTTTGATGTCATAGAAAGAGAGGCCTTTATCACTTACAGAATTTATTTCCTTTTTCAAGACATTTTTATGTGTTTGCATTATAGATCAATTTCATTGTTTTGGAAAAATGTCCAAAATGTATATGCAATTTATTTGCTATTTTTCTTGCTTATAGTCTGTCATTGATAAAATTGCTGATCAAGTCATCTATAAGAAAGCTATCAACTCACAAGAAATTGATTTTGATATTCATAATTCTTACAGTTGAAGTATCAACTTTAAAATTCAAAATTATAATTTTTCATCAAATTTTAGCTTAACAGCAGCAGCAAAATGTTACAGTCAACCATATAAATAGACATTTCTGCTTTTAAGTTACCAATCTAACATGAGAATGGCAGTTTCTTAATTGACTATCACACCATTAATTGTAAAATTGGAAGGAATTGGGGAAATTGTAGATTTTATAAGCAAAATGGTATTCAACACCTGTAATCTATTCAATTTTATTTCCAAGGTAATGTTGACATTGAGCAATTCTATCATACACTAAATAGAGTAATTAGAAAAATGCATGTTGATAGATGAAATTGGAGAATATAAATATTTCAGTTTCCTCTCACATATCACAATACACTGCATTGTTTCACACTTGGCAAAGCTTCTGATGAGTAGATTGCAATGAGATAAAATTGCTACTGCTCCTTCCAAAGCTCAAAGTGTGAAATAGAGAAGCAGGCAAAACATCCTGATGCACTATACAGTGATCAAATTTGAAAAAGTATTTTTGTAACATAGGTAAAGGTCAATGACACAGAGCAAGGAAACCAGGTTTTTTTGCCTTAACAAAAGGCTAAACAGTCAACTTGATATTCTGTGCATCGTTATGTAGTAGGATCAGTAGTAATTGCTCAGCAACATGACAAAACATGTTTGTCATATTAGTTTGAAATTATTTTACACATAATTATGAACTAAAGAGATTTTGGTTCTGAATTAAGTCTCTTTTAATGAGTGATGATGATGATGTAGATATGGCTGACAACATTTAGGAAGTATATGAACCAAATGTGAGTATTCAGACACTTTAGGAGACTGATATCTACTATTGTAGTTTAGTGATTGTTTTTCCTTAATTACAAATAAAATAGTAATTAAATTGTCCTGTTGATTGTAGAAATTTATTGTGTCACAAAATGATTGTTGTTGTTGTTGTGTGTGGATTAACATATTCTTACATTTATTCATTGGGCTTTTCTATTGGTTTATTGGGTAAAAGAAATCATTGTCCAGCTGAGACATTCTAACATTTATTAAATTGTTTTAATTTTAACATTGGTTGGTATGCTTTGTTATTGATTATTGCATATGTGAGAGAGAATGAAAATATAGTGTATTTGTTACCTAGAACTGAGGTTGAACTTCTCTGAGTAATGAAATTGTTTAAGAATTTCTACTATTGAATGAGGTAATATGCATATTTGTATTGCTTGATAGATGTCAGGAGTGGCCAAACCACAACTT